CAGGGATCGCGCAGCTTCGCGAATCCCTGCCGCTCGCGAAGCCGACAAACCGGAAGTCCGTGGTTTTGTTCATTTTGAGTTGACAGGAGAGATGAAATTGAATCTGAAGCCTTTAGTGGATGGGGGTACCTCATAACTCTATTATATACTCTTTTCCCTTTGGTTTAACTACATGAAGGTACTGGGTGAGATCCTCTGATGGTTAGTGGACAGATATCATCAATATATATTAAAAGCCAATTATTTAACATGACCCCAGACTGGTCAGACAGTATGGTCTGAAGGCTCTGTGGGACTGGATGGAGAGCAAGGTTTAGGCACAACCCTGATAAAGCTAATTAGCTAAGAGTTTGGGCACAAACTGAAGCTACTTAATGTTTTATTTTTATTTTTTACAAGTTTTCACTTAACCATTCAGAATTATGATGGTGCAGAAGGAACTAATGACCCATGCCCAAAGTTACTGTTGTTATAGCACCCCCAGTCATGTGATTATGATCTGGGTGCTTGGAACCCATTCACATGTACAATTGGTTGCCAAGTGCCCCATGATCATGTCATCACTATTTGCAATTGTTCCTGCTGGCTTCTCCAGAAATTCAATGGGGAAGTCAGCAGGAAAGTTTGCATGCTTCAACCACCTGCCTAGAGGACTCCCTCTCTTTTCTGGACTGGCTGAAAAAGGTCCATCCCAAATGCCAAGGAGGATTTTCAGCCCCAGTCGAGAAACTGGTAGTTAGATATGGAATGCAAAGTGCCTCCCAGGGAGAGGCCCTGGGAGATGTGGCATAGATCTGTCACAAGCCGCATGCAAGTGTCTCTGCTTTTGGGCTGAAAATTTTGCTTGGATTCAATAAGGATTTTTTTAGCTCTTGAAACAGTGAGACACTTGTGCGGTCTTTCCTCACCAGGGTCTCTTTTCATTTAATGACCCACAAGATTGGTTAATGACTGCAACTGCAAGTGCCACAATTACCATTGTTGAACAAAAAGGTGTAATGATGTCTTGCTTAATGATTGCTTCACTTAACAACAAAGATTCCAGTCTCAATTATGGTAGTAAATAAAGAAGTAAATAAAGACCACTAGTCCTTTACCCTTTGGAACTGAAGCACAATTTGGGAATTTCTAGGACTCACGGCTCCTGCTTAAGAATCTGGTGGCAGATGCGCACCTTAGGAGAAATCCAACTTGTATGCCAATTACCTGGAGTGGGAAGTTCTTGAGATAATCACTCATCCTTGGTTATGTTGCATAAGGACTGCTGCAATCTATTACCTGTATTATCTTCATGGCATCCGTGGTCTGGAATATCAAACATAGAATCATAGGGCTGGAAGGGACCTCAGAGGTCTTCTAGACCAACTCTCTAGACCAAGGAGATTTTATACTATACTGGAAAATGGCTGTCTATTTTTGAAAACCTCCAGTGATGGAGCACTCACAACTCTGCAAAACGCTATTCCAGAAAATTTCTCCTTCTAGGTTGGATCTCTGTTTAACAAGCTTCCACCCATTACTTCTTATCCTGCCCTCTGGTGCTTTGAAGAATAAGTCAATACGCTCTTCTTTGTGGCAACCCCCTAAGTACTGGAAGAGAGTTATTATGTCCTCCCAATTGACTTCAATAGGTTAATCATCCCCAACTCCCTCAACTGTTCATTGTACAATTTAGCCTTCAGACCCTTTATCATCTTTCTTGCTCTTCTCTGTACACTTTCCTTTTTTTTGTATCACGGTGATAAGAAGTGTTTGCAGTATTCAAAGTCTGGTTTCACTAGTGCATTATAAAATAGCGTTATCACTTCTCATGATCTTGATGTTATATCTCTGTTACTGCAGCCTAGGACTGCATTGGATTTTTGGCAGCCTGCTCATACTTAAGTGGTGGTCCACTAGGACATCTATATCTTTCTCACAAGTCCCAAATACACCACAGCCACAGAATATTGCTGGTCCAGTAATTTAATCACTTAATCAAAGAAAACAATAAGGTTTGTCTGGCATAATATGCTTTTGACAAACCTATGTTGGATTCTAGTAGTCACTTCGTTCATTACTAGGTACTTACAAATCCTCTGCCTGATTATCTTTTCCAAGATTTTCCCTGGTATTGATGTCAAGATGATTAGCCTATAATTTCCTAGATCCATTCCCCCACTCCCTTTTTGTATGTTGGTATCACATCAGCTCTTTTCCAGTTTGAGGTAATTCTGGAGAATGGGATCTTGTTTGTAAATTCCTGGATAGACAGGGAGGAGTTGTGTGCCAAGAATGCAGACTGTGTTGCTCATCTGGAAGTGATTGTAGAGGAACATTTGAGATTCTTCCATGTGGAGATTGAAGTCAAAGATGTTAATGACAATGCTTCCAGGGAATAGATTCTGAGTATGGCTGAATTACTTTTTACATCTCGTAGGGTACCACAAAGTTATTTCACTGCCAGGTAGTTTTCTAGGAAAAGGCAAATGAAAGTTTTTCTGCATAAAAAAATATTTTCTAAAGTATTGTTGTTAGTCACAAAGTCATGTCTGACCCATTGCGACCCCATGGACAACATTCCTCCCAGGCCTTCCTGTCCTCTACCATGCCCCAGAGTCCATTTAAGTTCACATCAACTGCTTCAGTGACTCCATCCAGCCACCTCATTCTCTGCCATCCCATTCTTGTTTTGCTCAGTCATTCCCAGCATTAGGCTCTTCTGCAGCGAGTCCTTCCTTCTCATTAGGTGGCCAAAGTATTTGAGTTTCATCTTCAGGATCTGGCCTTCTAAAGAGCAGTCAGGGTTAATCTCCTCTAGGACTGACTGGTTTGATTGCCTTGCAGGAGTCTTCTCCAGCACCATAGTTCAAAGGCCCCCATTCTTTGGCGTCCAGCCTTTCTTATGGTCCAACTTTTATAGCCATACATTGCAACTGGAAAAACCATAGCCTTGACTATACAGTAGAACCTCTGGTCACGACTGTAATTCTTTCCATAACTTTGGTTGCAATCTGATTTGGTCGTGACCCAAACCTAATTTTGGAAATTTAGTGCTTACAAAAAAAAAAAAAAAATGGCGCAAAAGGGGAAATCAGCCACAAAAAAAATTGTGAATTTTTTGGTCAGAACCTGATTTGGTTGTGGTCAGAAGCGTTCATGACCAGAGGTTGTACTGTACACACTTTTGTTGGCAGGTTGATGTCTCTGCTCTTTAGTTTGCTGTCTAGATTTGTACAGCTTTCCTCTACAGGAGCAAGCGTCTTTTAATTTCTTGGCTGTAGTCCACATCTGCAGTGACTCTAAAGTATAACAAGTAATAATTGCATTACATTTAAAGCCCCCTCAAGTACAATAGCCAATGTTGGCAATATAGTTTTCAACTCTCAAAATGACTTTAGTTGAAGCCATATTCTTTTTACTTCATTTCTTAGTTGCTATATATATGTGTGTGGGGGGGGGAACTTCAGGGTGTGGGATAATTTCCTTCCAGGTGCCAGATATAACAGCGATAAGGCCTGTGGGAATCCAGGTCGTCTGAATGAGAGCTTGTAACGGCTGGAGGAAGTAGCTGAGCAGCCTGCCATCTATCTGGTTGGTTAATGTGACCAGTGACACTAGGAGGGTGGGTGATATCTATTCCTTTTATTATACTGAAAATGCGGGAAATATTTAGAGTTGGTTTCACATTTGAACATACCTATATGATGTACCCAATAAAATGGATCTTTGAGAAAACCCCAGCCTCAGAATCCTGAATTGATTGGGCCAATACTCAAAACCATGACATTAAACCAAGATGACAATAGTTTCTGATAAATTCAAAAAAGTGCTTATGTGGGTGGGGGATTATGTAAGGATTATGTGGGTGGGGGAAAAAAGAGAAATTGAAAAATATCTTTAACCTTGAGGTAAGAAAACTTGATTGGAAACGCATTTAATAGCAACCTTAAAAAAGCTGAAGAAATATGACACAGAAGAAACTTTTGACCTGTTTTCTGTGTCCCAGGATGGAGGAAATAGGACAGTGGGTTCTGACTTCATGAAAAAAATTTCCCAGGCTAATGAGGTTAATAGTTTTGCTACTGTTTTCTTCTGAGCTATAAAAAGTAAAGGTATAAATTCCTTTATGATGGTAGCTGTTCAACATGTCTAGGTGTGTGTGTATACAGGAAAAAATGAAAAATTCTTAGGTGGGGTTATTTAGCGACAGACTGATTAAGTTCCTTGAAATAAAATAAAAAAGAGTACATATTTGAATTTCTGTATCTCTTCCTTCTTAAAAGATTTTAAAAATTATATAAGCTAAACAGGGTTCAAATGAAATACATGGGTTAGATTAATTGTAACATGTAAGGTATTTCAGGAATAAGCCAATTGAGACATCACATGAGTTTTGAGAACTTGCCCTGCTTGTCGTTTGCCTAAAAGGTTCAAGTGCTGCATATCCAGCTAAGATTCATAAATAAAACTAGAAAAGTACTTCTGCTTTCATAGCATTGGAATACTTGAACAAGTTTCTTTGAAATTAATGTTCCAATATTATTAATGTTGCAATTTGTTTGAACTTGGTCAAAAATGTGATTCAAATAGTTTGCAGCTACCTCAATTTCCCTATCTGTCTGTTGCTCATTTATTGGGAGCAGTGGGAAAGATGACCAAGAAGTACCAAGACGTCAATATAAAATTTAAATTAATATAATATTTAACGAACAAAAGAAAGAAAACTACACAGAATATCACAGTTTCTCATTTTGAATTTGGGTCACAAGAGGTCGCTGTTTCCTAAGGAAACCCTGTAAGTGAAACTGAAAATGCAGAGCCCCTCCCTTAAAGGGACCGACATTCCTGTCAGCCAGATCCACAAGGGAAATATTGAACGACAGAGAAAGCTCAACAAGCCAAGATTCAACCTATGAATGCATTGCCAGTATGGCTGAGCTAGATGGGCTCTGCTCCTGACACCTTTAAGTCAAGATATTTGGAGAAAAAGAGAAGAGCTTGCTGGTGTTGTGTCTGCAATGCTTACCTGGCCGAAGGGGCTGCTGCAGCTGCTTCTCCTCTACACCGTCTGGAAAATGGGGAGCGGCCAGCTCCATTATTCTGTGCTGGAGGAATCTCAGCATGGTGCCTTTGTGGGCCGCATCGCTCAGGATCTGGAGTTGGAGGTGAGTGAGCTGGTGCCTCGGATGTTCCGGATGCTGCCCAAAGGAGAGAAGGACTATTTTGAGGTAAACCTGCAGAATGGGATCTTGTTTGTAAATTCCCGGATAGACAGGGAGGAGCTGTGTGCCAAGAATGCAAACTGTATTGTTCATCTGGAGGTGACTGTGGAGAAACCTCTGAGGTTCTTCCATGTAGAGGTTGAAATCAAAGACATTAATGACAATGCTCCTGTCTTCTCTACCAGGGAACAGATTCTGAGCATAGCAGAATTTGTAACATTAGTTACACGATTTCCATTAGAAGGAGCATCTGATACAGATATTGGTACTAATGCTCTATTGACTTACAGGCTCAGTCCAAACAAACATTTTGTTCTGGATTCAGGAAATGATGAAGATGAGAGTAAATCTGTAGTACTTCTATTGAAGGTGCCACTTGACAGAGAGGAAAATCCTGTGCATCATTTAGTACTGACAGCCACTGATGGGGGTGAACCAAAACTCACAGGAACTGTTCAGCTCGTCATCAATGTGCTGGATGTGAATGACAACCCTCCTGTGTTTAACCAATCTATTTATAGGGTAAAGTTGCTAGAAAACACAGCCAGTGGGTCATTAGTTATTAATCTGAATGCAACAGACTTAGATGAAGGGCTTAACAGGGAAATCTCTTATTTTTTTAGTAATAGCCTAACTCTAGACGTCACAAAGCTATTTAGTATCAATTCTGATACAGGTGAAATCAGAGTGATTGGAAAAGTGGACTATGAAGAAAGTAATTTTCATGAACTTCCAATTCTGGCAAAAGATAAAGGTAGTTTTCCATTATCAGGGCACTGTAAAGTCATCATTGAGGTTTTGGACATGAATGACAACATTCCAGAATTATCTGTGAATTCTCTCTC